GACAACTCGCCAAATATTTGGAAAGGACTAAATTAGTTTCTGCCACTACGTGTGACATGCCAAAATCAGTTCTGGATAGATTTGTTAAATATAAATTGAGAATAAACAAATTTAAGAAAATCCTGGACTGGTCATTAGATTGCAAGTTGGGAAAGCTAAAAGGCTGATGAGGAGAACATAAAAGAAAAGGAGGAAAAAAGTTTAAAATTTCTAAAGAAAGCAAGAAAGACAAAGAAGAAAAAAATTGGCAAAATAAATAAAAATTTCCAGTACATGATCTAAGTTAGGGGGCAAATGTCAAACCAAGGAAACAGAGCCGCAGGGCAGGCCAAGACAACTCTCCCGTGGAGTGGTCACTCACAGAGGCCTGGGGGCGTGCAGGAAAGCTTGACGCCCGCACCTGCCTCAGGAGGGCGGACACACACCATTACACAGGGGAGAACACTCTGGACGTGTGTGTCAAAATAGGATTCTCACGGGAAGAGCTCGTTGGGTAATTTAATCTCTGGGAAAGAGTCAGCAACCTACAAAAAGATGCTTGCACGAAGATATTTACTGTAGACTGGTGAAATTTGTGACTTTCTAAACTTAGAAAGTGGTTCAATAAACATGAATCTATCCAGCCTCATCCCTTAAAGGACTGTTTCAAAAAAAGACAAACATGCATGGTGTTTAAAGTGCTGAGAGGGGGCTGAGGAGATAGCTCGGTGGAATAAGTGCTTGCCTGGCAAGCTCAAGGTCCTGAGTTCAATCCCTGGTACCACCAAAAAAATAAATAAAATGCTGAGAGCCAGTGACTGAGCTATTGCTTTCAAGAGCGCAATTACAATTTTATAAAGTGAAAAATACACACCAGTATGTAACAATGTTTATAACCAGATAGAATTACAGATGGGTTTTTTTCTTTTTTATATTTTGCTGTTTTCTAAACTTTCTACATACATATGTATATGTGTATATAAATTTTAAAGAATATGCGTGTATACACACATGTGTGTAGAGGGAGATTTATGAACTCGAAGCCCAGTTGACGGCGTTCTTTGCATCCCCTCCCCCTCCCCCATACATGTGTTAAAAACATCTTGTTGGAATCCCACAAAGGACCATAAAAATGGAGACTTCACAGGTGGGTTCCTAGCTAAGCTTCCTTAATGAGAAATTGGGAAGAAGTAAACAGTAAATTTGATTAAATCGTTTCTTCTTAAAGCCATTTAAAAAGAAAAATCACAAAACACAGATAAGAGCCTAGCTGACAGCAAGATCAAAAAGCTCCAGAACAAATTCACTAAGAGAGAAAGAAAAATGTAAAGTCTAAATTCTCTTTCCAAAACCAATTCTCTTTGAGTATTTATTTTAACCATTGCTTAAATTATATCTGCAACTTTCGTAGCAGTCCCCTTACTCTTCATGTTTGTAAACCCACACATCAACAATTCTTAATCAACAGAATAGCGTTTCTCCAAGGAGCTATGAAAATATACCTGGTGTTTTAAATATAATAAAAAGCATGACTGGTTTCTTCATCACAGAGCAGAACCGCATCTGGTCATTTAAAAAAAATGCATTAGACAGAGTATGAATTCCAGATACTTATTACAGAAAACTGTTTTATCCATTCAGTCCAATTTCCCAGCAGTTTTATTACTTGGAGACAGGAGAATTGTAGAAACCAGCGATCGAAGCCCACTTATTGTGAGGACTAGACTGCAAGCCATAGGAAGTATTTGAGGGTCGGGTAATTTATAGTAGGGCACTGCTTGAAGGCTGTCTCTCCTGGGGCACAAGTAACCCCAAAGAAGGCCCAAACGCCCTACTTTAGTAGCTGGCCGTTTCATTTGCAAAACCTGCCTCAATGACCAGCACTCAGTCAGCATTTCACATGCAAATGTGTATGTGCTTAATTGGAGCAATTTTTCTAACAGGAGGCCAAGCTGGCAGGCACATCAAAAATAGCCATTGAAAAAAAAAAAAAAAATAGCCATTGGCCTGCAATTGGAGGCCTGACAGTCATTGTCTACAAGGGGGCAAAGTTCTCACAGTACAAGTCTTACCCTCTGAAAGACAACAGGATTTGGTTTGTCAGAAGCAGGTGCCTCGACCCCCAGCCCAGCAAGTTCCCTGTTCCTATTCACTGCCTCTGACAGCAAAGCCCCAAGGGGCCCTGCCTGCACCCAACAGTGGCGGGGGCATTAGCAAGGAGCCCCGGCCTCCTGACTTCCCTGCAAACTAGAAGGCACCTACCCAAGGTCAATTCTCTGCCTGCCAACCAACCTGCACCAGTGGAAGAGGAGCCAAAAGCTTTGCCAGCATAGCTTCTGTGGCATCCACAGCTGTCTTTGCTTTGCACCTGTGCAGAGCAAAAAGCTCCTAGGGAAGGATGCTTTTTAGGCCCAACGAGCCACAAGCCTTGCTAAGCTGGTATGTCTACCAGCAAATTGCTGGGGAATTTATTTTGTTGTTTTTGAATCCCCCCATCACTGCCATTGTGGTGCTAGGGGTTAGACCCAAAGCTCTCACTCTGAGCTACATTGCAAGTCCCTTGTCTACTTTTATTTTGAGACAGGGTCTTGCTAAATCGCCCAGGCTGACAAACCCAACTTTTTTTTTTTTTTTTCAGAACCGGGAATTAAATTCAGGCCCTTGCACTTGCCAGGCAAGCGCTTATTCTACTGAGCCATCTCCCCGGCCCCTCAAACTTTTTGTTTTGGTCTGTTGTTTTTTTGAGACAAGGTCTCGCTGTGTAGTTCAGGCTACCCTTGCGCTCTCTATGTAGCCCAGGCTGGCCTCCAACTCTCAGCAGTCCTCCTGCCTCAGCCTCCCGAGGGCTGGGATTACAGGCACATCTCACTCAACTGAAGCCTGACTTTTGATAACTAGCTGCAAACTGCCTTGCCTGTGCCTCATTCGGAGACAGCGTGATCAGCTGAAGAACTCGGGGAGCCCTCCGGGATGCATAGAAAGGGCCTCTTCTAGCTGCTGAGTCTTTTGTTTTGTTTTTATCTGCACTCTGTCCTCTGACTTGTGTCTGTTTCCTCTTCTCAGTGTTCACACTGTTTTCTTAGACTTTTTTCTTATTTGTACTTTTTCTTAGTACATGTTTGAAGTGTATTCAATTTATAATCATCTTGGGGGCTAGGATTTTCAGAGGTGGTGCAGCAGAGAAGCAGAAATAAAAAGAGGGGAGCTTTTATTAGCTCTGTAGACACAGAAAGGATCAACAGCAGGCAGACAGGAGATCCTCTGACCTGAGACAGGAAGGCTGAGACTTCAGGGACTTTTGCTAGGGGCGGAACTTGAGGGTTCAGTGACACACAAGAAGCTGACTGGGGGCTCCCTTGAGTGCATGGGAAAGGTATCCAGGACTGGGTTGGGGAAGAAGGAGGAAGTGGCCATTGGTAAGAGAAGCTGTTGTTTTGGGGTGTCAGCCATGTTGAATCAGGGCCATGATAATTTAGTGGTTTGTCCTCGGACCCAAACCTATCACCAGGGAGTGGGTGCACGCACAGAATGCAGCTTGTTGCTCTTTCCAATCCCCTCTGCTCTCCCTCCATCCCTCCTTCTCTCAATCTACTCCCCCCACTTCCATTCTTGGGGCTATTACTGTTCTCAGCTCAGGGTTGGGGCACCCAGTCACTCACGTTTGTTGAGGGTGTTGGGTTCCTGGCCACAGCACATCTGTGTTCTACTTACTTGCCCTCCCCCACCCCCATCCTTTAGTTCTTGGGCTCCTCCCCATTTGCAAGTGGTCCATCGCCTTGTCCTCTTCCGTTTCCTCTGGTATTATCCTCTTCCTACTTTGTCTTATTCAAATGAGAGATACCATGCACTATTTAAGCTTGTGTGTCTGGTTTCATCAACTCGACGTTATATTTTCCAGGTACATTCATTTTCTGACCTATGTCTCAAATGTGTCCTTCTTTATAGCCATTATGTAGGAAAATGTATAGATAATAAATTTTCTTTACCGAGTCATCTATTGAGGGGTATACAGGGTGCTTTCTAGCTTTTAGTTGTTATGAATTACTCTGTTATAAACATCAGTATGCATGTAACACTGTAGTGTGACGTCTTTAGAGGACATCAGAAAATGATGTCTTGGGGCTGGGGAGATGGCTCAGTGGAATAAGTGCTTCACTGGCAAGCGCAAAGGCCTGAGTTCAATCCCCGGTACCGCAAAAAAAGAAAAAAAGAAAATGATGTCTTGTTCCTGGACAGGCAGAACCAACACTATCAAATTGACCATAATTCCAAAATTGCAATCCAGATTCAGTGCACTCCCAATAAAAATATCAACATGCTTTACAGATCAGAGAGAACATTCCTACAGTTCATAAGGAACCAGAAGAGACCCAGAATAGCAAAGAGAGGAGCACAGAAGGAGGCCTTAATATGCTGGACTTCAAGCTACACTACAAAGCAATAGTGATAAAAATGTCAGGGTACTGGAACAAAAACAGATACATGGATCAATGGGACAGAATAAGGGGTA